CAAGACAAGTCTTGACAGGTCTTGACTAGTCTGGCATGTGCTGTGGTGGCAATGAGGCAGGTCTTACTCCAGGCAGCAGGTTGCAGTAGGTGTATCTGATATTCCTTCCAACTAACAGATCTATAAAATTATAAAGTGCCTGGAGACTCCAGCAAATTCACATAATTCTAGTGAAACCCCACAACAACCAGCTCCATATTATCTTGCTTTGTCTGATGTCAGAAGAGCCATCAGGGAGGAGGGAGTATGAGAATAGTAAAGCATATGGATGCTTTCACTGGTTTTATCCCTCAGGAGATTTTGTTTTACCAATATGCAAAATAGGAGTGAAAGGAATAAGCAAAAGGTACGTTCATAAGGAGCATATTAGCAGTTATCAGCAAGTCGACATGCATTGGAAAGGCAAGATACTAGTCATTGTAGAAACTGTAAATAATAAATGCAGTTATGTCAAATAACTGGGTATGACATCAGTTAAGTAAGATTAATTTTGCTTTTAACCTGTGGTTTGTCCTGTTTCAATTTTCTGTGATGAGCACTTATGTTCTTGTACATCTTTGTGGGGCTTAAAACTACCTATTCATCCTCATTCTCATTTACCTAATTCAATAAGAACCTGGTGTTGTGTTCTGGATTTAGCTATAAACTGCCCAGAGTGGTTAAATTTTTATTTAAGACCTTTTAAAAGCTTTTTGGTTCGTTATAACCTCTAATTAGCATCCGGAGAAAAAGTCACATACACTTCTCTAAGAGAAATTATTTTTAATTTAGTGAGAAAAATAGGATATTTTGGCAAAAGGTTTTTACAGGTGTAAAATCTCACTCATGGCGAGGCTTCGCGAACGAAGATTTGGGAAGGCTCTATCCACATTCCCTACAGGCACGTTGGTGGCTTATGAGGCCAATACATGACAGACATATCCGATTGCAAAAGGCACAGCAGAAAGACTCCTTAGGAGGTGTATTCTGCAATTTACGGTTCTTTCTGCGCTGCCTTTTTTCCTCGAGAGTGATCCTACGTGTGTTCTCGAAGGAGACAGCTGCGTTATA